TAACATTTACCGTTACTCCATTTGGTTTCACTTACTCACCATTAATATTTATTTTATGAGAAGTGAAATAATTTTTTCTAAATTTATCAAAAAGGGTACCATTACCATTAAATTACATTTTGAAAAATGAGAATACTCCTTTTATTCATCAGTTTAACATTATTTGATTTCTGCTCTTACATTTAATTGGTGCAAATTTGTATTTTACATAGTTGTTACATTTGTATGTATTATTTTTTATTTAACATTATTGGAAATATTTCTATATATATATAGTCTTAACTAAGACGTAAATCTTAGTGGTTGAGGGTCAACCCCCGAACCAGAGGGTCACTGTTCAATTCCTGGTCAAGGCACATGCCTGGGTTTCTGGCTTGGTCCCCAGTAGGAGGCATGCCAACACAGCATCAGTGACTCGCTCATCATTGATGTTTCTCTCTCTCCTCCCTTCCTCTCTTTGAAGTCAATAAAGACATATAAAAAATATTAATATATACCCATTTTATAGAGAATTTAGAAAATAAAATGACTAATATTTCACAGATAGAGAAGTTAGTATATTTGATAAATATAATAACTCCATTTTATTTTTCTTTATTCTTATTAGAAAAGTATTCATGTTCATCAAAGAAAAATTGCACAGAAAAATATAATGGAAAAAATTAAATAGTCTGTGATTTTTTTTTTTCACCCACTGATAACAGTTCATTATTTTTACATCTAGATTTTCTTGTTCTTTTTCCTTGTGTTGAGGCCACACTGATAGCCTGGTTTTTGTTTTGTTTTGTTTGTTCTTTTGTTAGTCCCCACCCAAGGATATTTTTTCCATTGATTTTTTTTTTTAGAGTGAATGGAAGGGACGGGGCGGGGGGCATCCATGTGAGAGAAACACATCGATCGAGCCTGCAACCAAGGTGACTGGAATGGAACCTGCAATCCTTCAGTCCATGGGTCAGTGCTCTGACCACTGAGCCAAAGCGGCCAGGGCAATAGCCTGATTTTTAATTTAATGTATTAGACCAAGCATTTCTCCATATTATTAAAAGGAACCATTTTAATAGTAGTCATAATATAAACTTACCATAATTCATGTAATTATTTCCCAATTACTGTTTCTATTTTTTTTGTTATAAATTATACTCTATTGAATGTATTTATATATAAGTATTTATCATTTCAGATTATTTCTTTCAAATAACTTCTGAGAAGTAGAATCCTTAGGCTAAATGGGATGGATGATTTTTAAGGTTCTTGACATTGTCAAATTACCTTACAGAATAATTATAACCTATTTAATATTCCTAGCAGCAACATATAAAAGCAGCTATCTTATTAAACCTTAGCTCACAAGGGTGTTTACTTTTTAATCTTTGTAAATATAATAAGTGAAAATAGTATCTTTTGAGATATAATTGACATTTTAGGAAGTTTTTTGTTTTGTTTTTTGGTTGCCCTGACTGGGAATTGAACTGGAGACCTTCTGGTGCATGGTACAATGCTCTGCCAACTGAGCTACACAAGCCAGAGCAGTGTTTTGTTGTTTTTAATTCACATTTTCCTATTTCTAAGGTTACAATATTCAGTGTTGCTACTTTACATGGAATTTAGTTTGATAGTAATTCTATCTTATCCAATATGCCCTCCAAAGCTGTATAGGAAACTTTCTTTTTGAATACTCACAGAAGGCATATTAATTTTTTTCTATCTCCAATAAATTCACTGAAGGTTATTTTAAAAATAATGCATACATAATTGGGAATTAGAGAGTTGAATAATTTAGATCAACAACAACAACAAAGGGGCCCTTCATTTTAGAGTCCCTTGCTTAACTACCATGCAGATTTTGTCTTAGGTACTATGTTCAGAACTAAGTAGAGAAGACATGCAGAGAGTAAGTTCCCAGAAATCTAAATTCATAGTTCTCTTCAAAATGAACTATTGGAATACAATTCTTTTGCAAGTTGCGAATTCCGTATACCAGTGGGGAAATCCCCAAATGCAGATCTTTTGTTGATGAAATTTGTTTTCCAAAATGTGTTCTGTTTGTTCTCACAGAACTATTAAGTTCCTTGAGGGTAGGAATCAAATCTCATCTTCGTATCCGGGCATAGATCTGGGCACACAACAGGTGCTCGGTAATTGTGTGAATAATAGGCTCTTTGAAATAGTGAAAAAAATGAACTTGTAGTTAGAAGGCCTGCAGTTTTCCCATTAATTCACTTCAGCTTTAGGACCTTTGTAAATTATGTAATAACCTTGAAACTCAGTTTCATCAACTCATGGGTGTTCCATTTATTATATAAAGTTGAGCGATAAATGAGGTAAACTTTGCTAAAACATGTTAAAGTATTTTGTTAAATAGTGCTGTGCACTTGTGAAGGTCATCATCATCATCATCATTTATATTTCTGAGAAGTACTTGGTAAAGAGTCCCATTGTTAAGAAATTACTTGGAAGAGTGTGGCAGAGACTGCTACCTGATCACCCCAAATCCACTCTCCTCTTCTTCCTGGACCTACAGTGGACTGTTCTTGGCCCCTCTGGCATTTAGGTATGGTCATGTGACTGAGTTCTAATTAATGGAGTGAACAGATCTTTTTCCTTCTGTTTGGAATGGAGACAACCTTCAGGGTAAACCTGGAAGCCACCCATTAAAGGTAGTAGGTCTTGAATCTTGTGTGCCTTCATGGAGGAGGGCTACCTACTAATTTCTCACCCATCTACGTTTGCTGCCTGAGCAAGAAAAACTGCTGTGTTTGAGTCATTACGTTTGGGGTCTGAGTGTTACTCCTATTATAAATAAGGAGCATGCTAACACATGCTCTGTTTTTTTTTAGTGCTTTACCTTTCCCTAATCTTATAGCAGCCTCACAAACAAGGGGCAACAATATAAAGATAGAAATATGTAGACTTGTGGGGGGTGTGTGTGTGTGTGTGTGTGTGTATATTCTGTGAACCAAGATAAAGTTGAGGAGAGAATTATGTTTTGTCTTTTGAGATNTGTGTGTGTGTGTGTGTGTGTGTGTGTGTGTGTGTATTCTGTGAACCAAGATAAAGTTGAGGAGAGAATTATGTTTTGTCTTTTGAGATTTTTTTTTTCTTTCTGAGAAAAGTTAAGTGAGGTTTATAACTTGTTAAAATTTAATTAGATAATTTATATATTTTTTACTTTTTTATTGTTTGAGGCCAAGGTTCTAAAAGAGTATAAAAGAGGATATATCTCTGGTAACACATTGCTTTAACTGTTATTTGATATTCAGACATTTTGTTTAACATGAAATATGATACTCAATATTATATGTAATAAAAAATTTTCTTAATGACAGTAATTGTGTGGCATTTAAAAAACTATAGTGTGTTGTTGTTTTTTCACTCCGATTCTTTTTCTATTTATTAGATGGTTGTGACCCATTTTATTTTTAAAGCTTTTTGTTGGGAAGGGGTTGCTGGTGTCTAGGCGCACTCCAGAAATTGTAGGGCAACACGTGTTCTTCAGAATATGCCCATGTTACCTTCCTAAGGAATATTGAAAAGATTCAAGTATACAGTTATCTGTTTATCATCTGCCAACTTTTACGCAAAGTAAATGATAATAACTGTGCTGTATTCTCATTTCAAGCAGTCAGAGTTCAGTACTTTTTACTTTTCTAGAATATTTTGATCACAGAAGCAAAATACTAACAAGCATAATCAAAATAGCTATCGAAAAACTGCCTAGCAAAGAAGCTACCCTCTTTCTTCTTAGGCAGAAGTTTAATTTTATGAATATATTTAGTAATTCGATTTCCCTTGCGAGCTTAAGTCCTTCTGTGGGTTACAGTTTATTCAAATCAGGAAACAAGCTGTGACAGCAAATTAGAAATAAAGGTAAGAAGGAAACCTTACAGTGGAGCTACCAGCAAAGGACACAGTAGCCGTAAGGAAAGAAGAAAAAACTAATCGTATAACCGAGAATCTGAGGGAATTGACAAGCTGAGTCCTATTTTCTTAGATACCTTGTAAGAGTCTTGAACTATTATAGTGCATACAATAATTGATATTAAAAATTACCCTGAAACAACATAAAACTGAATTATGTGCAGCCTATATACATAGAATGGGAAGTACATTTTAGAGTTTCTTCAGAACTTATAATTAAATTTGCATAGTGTCTAATTATCTGAAAATTTTCTTTAAATCAGAATGGCTTATTTCCTAACCAAATATCTACTAATTTTAAAAAATTAGGTTTTTTTGGTTGCGTGAAAAAAGGTGTGTGATTGTTGATTTCTGATACCTTCAAATTATTAACCTTGGAGTGGTTTAGGTTCCTATCTAGTTATAACAGGAAGAGGCCCCATCTTTAAAAATCAGATTCCTCTGTGGAAATCAAAATTTAGTGTAATTACTTACATTTGAGTTTTTGCACTTTGATTTTGAGAACAAAATTTAATCCAATGGGTATCTTCATGGAGATGGATTTTGATACTTTATATTTAGCTTTTTACCAAAAAGGTTGACCTATATTCTTTGGAACCTATAACTTGCTTTTCCAGAAAAATTTTATTTCAGTACAATAGAAACTGTCTTTTACTTGGCTGGTCATTTATAAGTACTTTGCAGTGGGATGATAACTAATTGAAACTGCTGAGATTTTACTTAATTTACAAATAGAGTACGAAGGCACTACATTTGTACTGAAAGAAATAATGTTTTGCTAAAGTAACGTTGCAGGGTTATTCTTCATAGCACACTGAAGGCACTCCCAAACAAAATCCACCACAGTGCCGTATACGTGGTAGCTGTTTAAGAAATATCTGCTGGCCCTGCCGGGCGTGGCTCAGCGGTTGAGCATCGACCTAGGATCCAGGAGACCGGGGTTCAATTCCCGCTCAGGGCACATGCCTGGGTTGCGGGCTGGATCCCCAGTAGGGGGTGTGCAGGAGGCAGCCGATCAATGACTGTCTCATCATTGATGTTTCTCTCTCTTTTCCTCTCCCTTCCTCTCTCTGAAATCAATAAAGATATATTTTTTTAAAAAAAGAAATATCTGCTGAATGAGCCAGTGAGCATTGGATTTAATCTAGCTGTCATCATGGTCATAGGAACCTGCAGGCAAAGTCTCAGATGTCATTTATTAAAAAGATCCTAACTGGAAAATGTTAACCATTGTATACTAATTGTATTTATTTGTGTACGGGATGCAGGTGGCGATAAAAATTATAGATAAATCTCAGCTGGATGCAGTGAACCTTGAGAAAATCTACCGGGAAGTACAAATAATGAAATTGTTAGACCATCCTCACATAATCAAGCTTTATCAGGTATGATTTAGCCTTACAACTCTCCACACTTCTCATATTAAGTTCTCTATTTTTCATCATCATTTTTCTCTTTTATGTTAGTTTTATACATATTTCCAATGTATAAAAAACGAATAATGTTATGCTTTTATTAAGCTGAGTACATCCATCTTTCTATACTCAAGTAAAAAATTAGGAAAGTAAAAACTAGTAGCTTAATTTTAAGTTGTCTCTCACACTGTAAGTTATTTAAAAAGCTTGTAGTTGTGCATTTGTAATACTGTCTTAAACCTGCTGGATTTTGGTGGTGGTACTGTTAATGAGGACATGGAAGTTTTGCTTATTTAAAAAAATAGACTGTTATTGTTTTATGAAATACAAAGGCCAAAAATAGTATATTTCTTAGTGACATACTTGGTAATACCTAGAGCCAAATCTTATATTTTGTTGGGGTTGTTTTATCATTTTTTAAAAAGCAATTTTACTAAGATATAATTTTTTAAAATGAAACTGCACCCATTTGAAGTGTAAGCCTTGTTTTTTAAATGGAGGATTTTCTCATATTTTTAAGGAGTAATTCATATTTAGGAATAGTAATGTAATATCAAACATTTGTAATATTTTAATTCATTAATATGTAAAATTTTTATGTTGGAAACTAGTTTCAAACTAAAATGTTACTGTAAATATGCTTGACTATGACTTCGATCTCCTAAGTATGACGTGTGCACCTAGTGGTGTGCTGGACTCAGCTGTATTGGTTGGTGAGAGTTAATTATTAAATTTTCAGAAGTTTTGCAAACTGATGAACATCATGTTAGTAGCTCAAAATCAGTGATGGTAGGAGTATATGTACCACAGAGGTTGGTTTACAAGTCAGGGTTTTTTTCCTCCCCCTCAGAGACCTGGTCTAGCACACCATTGTGTGCACTGAAATGGGTTAGCATTAGTGTACACTGGGGTTTAAGAAAATGTCAGAATTTCTAATTATGTTTATTTTGTAGATTTATGTGCATTTTTTAATGTACATAATGTATTTATACAGTAGCACGAGTATGAAATTTGTGTCTATGTATATACTCATATATATACATATTTTATGTATATATACATGTACATGCATATATGTTTGGCTAAACAACTTTTTGTTTATAGAAATTTGCAATTAAAAAGGTGTGGGGACTGTTAGCACTACCATTAGCTAAAAATGAGAGACTGTGGTGTGCCCCCTCACGATTCCTAAAGTTCTAAAACTATATAGGACCTCTTAGGTCAAATGTATACCAGAGTATTTCTCCTTTTAAGCTATCTGTCTATTTATTATTTTTCCTTTAAGCCTTTTAAAAGGAATTTCTAAAGAGGATACTTCTAAGAAAATAATCACATTCTTAGAAGTCTCTGATAAACTATAAGCCAGACTGAGGTTAAAACTACCAGGCTTCACATGATAATTCTGTGTTTATTTGAACTAAATAATCAGTTAAATTGATATGCTGTTTGGCCTGTTTAGACCCAAATTGTAGGTAGCTCTTAATCTTCCGGCCTGATAGGGAAGAGTCCCACACCTACATGTTAGAGCAAATTTGCTGTAGCCTTTCAGTAAATAGCAGTTCAATTTTATGCTGTTAGCATGTGTCAGTATATAAAACGATAGTTACAGAGAAGCAATCTAAAATTCACTCCTTTTGAATCTATAAATTCATTTCCTTTAGGTTCAGTATAGTTTGAAAAATCAAGTTTATGACAATGAACCTAGAAAATCTAATTTCAGTAAAAGTGTATATAGCAGTGGAGTTATGAAGAAGCTTTTAAACAATGTTTTAAAATAATAACACTATGTTACAGTATTAAAGTATAGTAGGAGAAATGTCACATTGTGTTAGATTAGCTAGGCTACAGGCCAGATAAACTGAGCTGTATTTGGTTTTCCTTTCCTTGATCAAAGTCTACCATATAACACAGGGCTAGAAGAGTCAGTGAGGAGGTGGTAAAAGGTTGATTTTCAAAACTCTTGTTACTTATATTAGCATTTTTCAAACTTGAATGTTCATAATAACCACCTGGGGATTTTGTTAAAAGGTAAATCCTGTCAGTAGGTCTAGGATGGGGCCTGAGATCTACATTTCTAACAGTTGGGCAGTGCTGCTGCTGCTGGCCCATGGACCTTGGAAGAGCAAGGATCTAGATTTTTTACCAAAGTGTTAGCCTAAGGATATTGTGTCTTATAAACTTTGCCAGCTTCTGAATTATTCATAACTTTGACACTTTTATTAGTAGTTTTAAAATAAATAACTCTATAGAATATTGTGGCAAATTGCAATTCTTTCCTATCAGACTAATACGGAATTATTTATCCATAGGTAATGGAGACCAAAAACATGTTGTACCTTGTGACAGAATATGCCAAAAATGGAGAAATTTTTGGTAAGCACTTTTCCATAATTTTTTTAAATTTGAAAATGTCGCCCTGGGCAGATGTCTCGGTCGGAGCATGCTCCCGAACACCAAAAGAAAGGCGGGTTTGATCCCCTGCCCAGGCTGGTACGGGAGGCAACTGATTGATGCTTGTCTATCATCACATCAATGTTTCTCTCTCTCCCCCTCTCTTCCCTGCCCCCTTCTTCCCTCCCTTCATCTCTCTCTAAAATCAGTAAAAACATATCCCTATTTTTCTGCCTGTTTAAGAGTTAGTAACATGAATTAGAAATTTTTAAGCATTAGAATATAATAAAATATCCAGTAAGCTAAAAATATGGAATATAATTTATTCTCCTATATTTATGATATTAAAGTTAATGCTTAATTTTCTCATCTGCATTAAAGAGATTGGAAAATCAAAGATAGGGAGTTACTTTCAGTCATATTTCAAGGGAGATTTTCTTTCCTTTTACCTTCCTTTTCACCTTCCTTTTTAACAAATATTTATTGAGCTCTTACTATGTCTCAGGCATTGTATTAGGTAAAAAGGATAGTGGTGGCCTAAATAACAGAATCCCTGCCATTGTGGATCTTAAACAGTTTAGTAAGCCCTTAACTGAAGCTGTAAGACCTTGAACAAGTCACTGTACTTTTCTGGGACTTCTTTTATCTCTAATAAGAAAGTATTTGAGTAGTTGGTTTCTGTGATCCAATCTAACCCTTAAAAATTATAAATATTTTATTAGTTCTAGCTTTCATCTATTTTATTTTTACTCTGTGGAGCCAGAGCACTGTAGGTAGTCTAACTATTTTTGGTTTTTAACCTAAATTTAAGCCCAGATTTTTTTAAACAGCTTTATTGAATAATAGTTTATATACAATAAATTGCACATATTTTAATGTGTATAATTTAATAAGGTTTACATATGTGAAAGAAACCATCACCACAATCAAGATATCCATCACCCTCAAAAGTTTATTGTGCCTTTTGTAATCTGTCTTGTCCCACATCATCATCAGGTAACCATTCATCTGTTCTCTGACTCTATAAATTAGTTTGTGTCTTCTAGAGTTTTATATAAATTTAATCATACAGTATGTGCTCTTTGGTTTCTTTCTCTCAGTAGAGTTATTTTAAGATTCATCTATTTTGTTATATGTATCAGCATGTCGTTTCTTTCTGCTGTTAGTAGATCCTATTGTATGAATAGACCCCAATTTGCTTATCCATTCATGTGTTGATAGACATTTGGGCTGGTTTCAGTTTTTGGCTATTATACATGAATGGCAATGAACATCCATATACAGGTCTTTAACTTATAGTCTACCTTCAAGTAATATTCAGCACTTCACATATAGTATAAGAGCCTTATAATAATATACTTCTGTTTTGCTTTTCTGGCCTTTATGTTCTTGTACATTTTTCTTATACCTATTTTATAAAACACAAAGTACAGTGTTGTCATTTTCGTCTAAAAAGTCCATTTAATTTAGTTTTAAAGAGATTTCAATATTTTTTTTAAATTTTACTTATTTAGCAGTGGAGTTATTGCAACATCTCTAGATGTAGATGAATGTATTCATTTTCATTCCTTTGTGTAAATACATTATTTTCATCTGGTGTCATTTTTCTTCTGCCTGAAGGATTTTCTTTACCATTTCTTATAGTGCAGGTATGTTGGTGATGAAATCTTTCAGTTTTCATATGTCTAAAATAATCTTATTTTGTCTGTTTTTGAAGGACATTTATATCAGCTATGTATTTGTAGGTTGACTTTTTTCCTTCAGTACTTTAAAGATGTTGCTCCATTTGCATTATTTCTGGCAAGAAATCTGGTCTCATCTTTTTCTTTATTCCTCTGTATATAACATGCCTTTTTCTTCTGGGTGCTTTTTTTTCCCATTGACTTTTTAGAGAGAGTAGAAGGGAAAAAGGAGGGGGGAGAGAGAAAGAGAAAGAGAGAGAGAGAGAAACATCAATGTGAGAAATTCGTTGGTTGGTTGCCTCCTGCACATGCCCCAATCGGACCAGGGATCAAACCTGCAACCCAGGTACATGCCCTTAACCAGGAATTGAACCCATAACCCTTTGGTCCGTGGGCCGGTGCTCTAACCACTGAACCACACCACCCAGGGCTCCTCTAACTGCTTTTAAGATTTTCTGGTATCAGTGGTTTCAACAATTTGATTATGAAGTGCTTTTGTGTGATTTTCTTCACAATTTTTATGTTTGGTGTTCATTGAACTTCTTGGATTTGTGAATGTATAGTTTCCATGAATAGTCAGCCATTATTTTCTTAACTAATTTTTCTGACTCACCCCTCTCTCCTTTTCTTCAGAAACTCCCATTATACATATATTAGGCTACTTGAAATTCTCCCACAGCTTACTGATATGCTTTTCCATTTTAAAAAATTCTTATTTCTCTATTTCATTTTGTGTCTTTAAGTTTACTAATCTTTTCTTTTGCAATGTCTAATCTGCCATTAACCTCATCCAATTAATTTTTCATCTCAGACATTGTCATTTTCAGCTTTATAAACTTGACTAAGGCTTNTCCAATTAATTTTTCATCTCAGACATTGTCATTTTCAGCTTTATAAACTTGACTAAGGCTTTTTTTTCTTCTTTTTAACATCTTCTATGTCTTTAGTTAGCTTTTTGAACATATGGAATACAGTTTTGTCCATGTCTCCTAATTCTGGCATCTCTATCAGTTCTGGATCAGATTTGAATGGTTGATATTTCTTCTCAGTTTTGGTAATATTTTCCTGCTTTTTTATGTGCCTGCTAGTCTTTGATTGAATGGCAGACTTTGTCATTTTTACCTTATAGGTTGCCACATATTTTTTAATTTCTGCAAATCAACTTGATCTGTGTTCTGGGATGTAGTTAAGTTATTTGGAAAGCTTGATCCATTTGGGTCTGGATCAGTGCTTAGTCTAGGTCTATTTCCCACTTTGGCATACTCTCCCCATTGCCCCATAAATTCTGGGTTTTGTTTTTTTCTAGCCTGGCCAGTGGGAATGTTCTCCGTGATCCTCTCAGATGTTTCTTTTTTGGCCTCGGGTAGTTTTCTCACACACATGTACCAATTAGTATAGTCCTAAATGCTGGGGGGGGGGACGGGGGGGACCCTCTGCAGATATTTAGTGTTCTCTCTGTGTGTAGCTCTCTCTTCTCTGTACTCTATTTTGTAGTTTCTATTTGCCTTCTTCCTTCTGGACTCTCAGCTCTGTCTCTTCAACTCAAGGAGTTTGCTTGGGTTTCCCCTCACTATATTGTGGCCTGCACACTTTCTCACCTCATTTATTTCCTGTCTCTTGGGGATCACTCTCCTTCTTTGACTCATGTTCAGTGTTTTATAAACCAACATGTTGTATATTGTAGTCCGTTTGTTTATTGGTAGGGGAGGGTTGTTTCAGGCAGAAGAGTAAATTCAGTTCCTGTTACTACATCTTGATTGAAAGAAGGAATTATATATACTTCTGTCGTTTTGGAAAAAATGTATTATTTATAGTTGAATTCTAAATAAATGGTTTTGATTCAATTATTTTCTAATTGTATTTTAGGAAAGACAGTTAGCTTGCCTCTTTTGCTTATTTTTTTCTTTTTTTTGATAATATTTATTGAGCTCATTTAAATTCTTAAGATATTTAACTAGATGTTTCTTAACTGATGTTATAATAGAACGGTATAGGCTTTGAAGTCAAGCAGATCTGGCTACACCAACTGGTTGTTTATAATGCTAAGTACACTATGATAATTGTTGGATTGCTTTGGGCAAGTTTCTTTCTTTTTGTTCTTTCTCTGTCTTCCCTTTTTTACATTCACTCTGTCTTTCAGGAACTCTTTATTGAAAACCAACTATGTGTCACCCACTGTTCTATGTGGAAAGAATACCACAATGAAGAATGCAGACAAAAATCCTTGTTGTCATAAACTTTACAGACTAGTGTGGGGAGAGAGACAATAAAGAAAGTAAGAAAATTATGTAGTGTATTAGATGGCAGTAAGTGCTATGAAATCGTACAGCAGGAAAAGGGGCATGGGGAGCGGGGAAGTAGATTACAGTAGTAAAAAGAGTGGTCAGGGAATGCCTCACCGATATGAGCAAAGATCAGAAAGCTCAGTCATCTAGATACAGGGTAAGAGGGTGATCGGGGAGAGGGAAGAGTAAAAGAAAGGTCCTGAGGCCGCCGTGGGTTTGGTGTGTTGGTGGACTAGCAGGGAGGTCAGTGTGGCTGGAGAGCAGCAAGCAAGAAGGAAGAGCCAGAGGGAACCAGGAGGAAGAGTAGTTGGAGATGAGGTCAGCAAGGCCGCGGCTTTGGGGACCTCATGGGCCATAAGGAGAATTAGGGAACCTTTAGAGGCGCTTGAGCAAAGAAGTGATTGTATCTAACATTTTAAAAGCATCCTTCTGGCTTCTGTGTTAAAATAGATTGTAGTAAGCAAGGGTGGAAACGGAAACCAGCTAGGAGGCTGCTGCAATAGTCTGGTGAGAGGTGGTGTGGGCTTAGACCAGGATGGTAGTGCTGCACGCAGGGCTAAGTGGTCAGACTTTGATGTTTTGAAAGTAGATACAGTAGGATTTTTGACAGATGGACACCGCCTGAGTAGTGAGTATGATTAGGGAAGACACCAATGTCTGATCCCTGAGGCATTTAAACATTAAGAGGAGGAACCAGCAAAGGTGACAGAGAAGAAAACCAAGTGAATGCAGTATCCTGAAAACCAAGTGGCACTTTGCTGCCAAGGCACTTTGGGGTGAGACAGAAGGAAGATGAGTTTGTTCAGATAGAATAGATTTAATTCATCCTGTGATGTGGCAGATGAGGCACCAGGGAACGCGCAGTACATTAGACACTAGTGTGGGGAAGGGTTTAGAGCAGCTGGCGGTGCTCATGATAGTCAAGGGATGAATGAAAGCGCTGATAATTAGCAGTGAGGGAGTTCCTGGTAGACTCACAGTCAGCAGTGCTTTCAGCCCAAGAGGAGGAGTAGAC